AAGCCGGAAGTAAGCGTCAGTTCTGTAGGCTATAGGATGAATATTTTTTATTTTACCTTAAAATTACATTGACTTAATGTGATTTAAAAAGCACCTGCCGTAGTTAACATTTTGGAATAATTTATTTATATAGCCTACTTTGGTTTTATTTAGTTTCACTGGTAAAGACCTTTTTTTCTTTACACCAAATTTAAAAACGAAAACAAATGCTGAATGCTGATTAAGTAACATCTTTGTTTGGAGTGTTGAATGTGTTTGGATTGTGTTGTTTGGATTGTGGAACTATGCAGTTGTTGCCTTTAAAATTACATGGTTACAGTTAATGTTTTCATTTAAGGCCAGTTTATAGTTTCAACCCAATTTAAAAACAAAAGCTAAATGCTTTTGTCAGTAGGCCTACCTATGTTTGTATTGAATGTAGCCTACTTACTGCGCAGTTACTGCTGTTAATTTCAGATGGTTAGTTGTTGTTTTCAAAAGCCAAAACCCAGTTTAGCCTGTTAAATACCAAATAAACATCTTGTTTATGTGTACTTTTATTCTTTCTTGTTTGTTGCTTGATAAAAAAATAAATAAAAAAAAATCGGAAATCGGTATCAGAATCGGCCAGTTTGCTTGTAAAAAATCGGTATCGGAATCGGCTATGAAAAATCATGATCGTGCATCACTAGTCCAATCATTTGTGTTTCACAGACAGGTGTTGCAGTGACAGGAAAGAAAACAGAAGCCATAGACAATTTTAAACCTATATATACACTATATATACACACTAACAGCTTGTGTCAGTGCAAACCCTCTTTTGACATTTTAAAACAACAACAACAAAAAACCTACTGTCAGTATGTACAGCAATGAAAAGACATGGACACAGTTATATTGGCAGCTAACCTTATTGCATATGCATTTGTAAGTGTTTCCCCTTCAGACACAAAATTTATGGGAGAGTATTTAAATGAACAGAGGTTTGCAGAAAATGGTACTTTATTTAACATCCAAAAAGGCATGTCTTAACCATTATGCTCAATATGCTCCTGTATTGTTAGTGGATTATCCGCATCTGATTATCACTGGCTCTGCTTGTTTGCGAGTTTGCGACCCTATACTAATTTGTGCCACTCTTGGTAAATTGCGTTGGTCATTATGGATATGAGCAAGCTGTGTTCGTGTTCTATCATTTGAACATTGTCAATAGATCACCTGCAAACATTTTCACTCCCACCGGCACTTTAATTTGTTTGCTGTCTCACGCTAATTCGCCATGTTTAGTTATTCTGGCCCATAATCTTAATACAGCAGATAAATATAAAACACAGTGCATAAAAACACAGAAAAACCAACCACCCAACAATTACGACCAACCACTGAGAGGTGCATGCTTTTCATAAATCAAGAATATGATGATTAATCTGCTCACGTTTCTTGGGATTCACAAGGGATGACGTTGAAAATGGTGGTGAGGTTGAGAAAAAAAGAACAGAAAGACATACCTGTGCATGAGGGCAGAGCTCCAGTGCAGGTGTGGCTATAGCACATACCTGCGGCCTCAGAAGAGGCTGCACAATGTCTGAGTATGCCACTTGGTTGAGCGCATCTCGGTCACTTTCTAACCGAGCTCCAGTATAGGCTTGCTCTCGTCTGGCCCCATCCAAAGCCTCTTGTACAGTGACCAAATCCTCCTGCAGTTTAAAGGCCGCTGTTTCCAGCCTACCATAGGTTTGGAATGGATCCTCTCTCTCCGTGGGGGTCTTACCTAACTCAAGCATCTGCAGCAACCTGAGGGATTAACATATAGAACATATATATATGAAGATATAGTCTTACAAACTCAACCTGCATTTCAAAGTAAAAAACTGTAAGTTAAACTTCTCTCCACTCACGGTGGATTACCTGCTAAAGGCTGTGTCCTTGGAGCTGATGACCTGTTGTTTAGCATTAGAACCAAGGTAAGGCACTTGAGTTAAGTGAGGTTGTGTCAGAATGTTTTCTCTCTGAGCAGCAGCTTCTGCTGCCCCCTCCAGCTTCTTCAGTATTTCATCAAGCTGCTTCATCACCCTCCTCCCCATAAGGAGCTCTGCATCCTGGGCCAGACGCACAAGTTCGAAAAAGGCCTTCTGACGGAGAAGCTGGTCACGAACTTCGGTTTGCTTGGAGGTGTAGTAATTTTGCCTGGCTAACTGAAGAGCGAGGTCACCACGCACTACGGGGATGTTAAGGAGGCAGGCACAGTCTCGTAAAGCAGAGCGGACTGGGTCTAACATAAGGGACTGAATTTCAGACTGAATTGAGAGGATCTCAGAGCGTAGATCAGGCTCAAGCCTGATCACCTGTGAGTAGCACAGAGACTACGAGAGGAAGAGAATGAAATATTTAGAGACATGCTCTCAGTACAAGGGACAGAAAATATTTCCTCGATTTTATAATTAAAAAAGCCAGACACACAAAGTTTATTCTCCTTGCAGTGTGTTTATCTACATACAAATTTGCCTTGGCACATGTTGGAGTAAAACAGGGTTAAAACGCTGTTTCACACATACAAATTTAAAGTAACAGCACAGTGCTGATGAATAACTACAGTTTAAAGATACATATCTGTAGCAGTTTTACAAGTAACAGTGCATTTCAGGCATAATAATGGCAAGAATAGAATAGCTCTTACTTAGGTTGGAAATATGACCTGAGATTGAGAAGCTTTTTAAATAGTTTTTTTCTTTTATTGAACAAATTATTTTACTAAATCACTAAAACTCAGTGTACACTACTGTTCAAAATTTTGGGGTTGGTAAGATTTGTAAATTTTTTTGAAAGTCTGTTACGCTCAGCAAGGCTGGATTTATTTGATCAAAATACAGTGAACAGTAATATGGTGAAATATTATTATATTATAATATTATTAAAGTTTTATATTGTAATATATTTTAAACTTGCCATAAATGTTAACCATGTTAATAAGAAACAAACAATAATATATTACTCTTAAAATGTTTTGAATGGCACTGTATAGGCATTTATAAACCAATCATGGAAACTATAATTTTAATTAATATTCACCTCTGTGCTGCTGTTTAGTCGCTGGATGAGCCACTCTTTTGCTGCCTTGTCACCATGCTCCTTTGCCCGCTCTTTCACCAGCTGATACTGTGCCACTATATATGCCCACTGCAGTTGTGCCATTTCTTTCTTCCTGAGCTCCACTAGTCCCTCATCCTCTTCTTCCTCGTGCTCACTGCAACAGCTCAGATTAGTCAGCTGGCAGCGATTGGATGTGGAGGTCTCCATCAAGTTTGAGATGCCCTGAAAGAACTGACGCTGAGTGTAGGCAGTCAACACTTTGGTGAATTGCTCCTGTTGCTGGAGAAAAGGCTCTAGAGACAACTGAGAGAGGAGCACTGGAGTCCCTGGTTGAGCAACTAATGGTGGCGCAGCTCCATCTTTACTTCTTAGGTAATGAGGGTCAGTTTGGAAAAAGCCAGCCAGTTTGGTGGTCTCTTTTGACAGGTTCTCCACAGCGGAGTTGGTGTATGCATTTTCAGCAGCCAAGGCAGAGTTGGCATCCTTTACTGTAGAGCCTCCTTCCTGCAGCAGTGTTTGGGATGCAGAGGAGTTTGCACCCCAGTTGGTAGCCAACATCTGCAGCTTATTGAGTCTGCATTGTTTTAGCTGCTTTTCCTTGCGGAGAGCTTGAAGTTCTGTCTCGAGGTCCTCGATTGTTACATTTCCCCCTCCACACAACGCAGAACAGCCCTGTGACACTACACCTCCATCTACGGGCAAACAGGTTTTAAGCAGCTCAGCCAGTGTCACCTCATCCAACATGGGCTTCCCGGACTCCTGGAGTGCCTTGTACGCTTGCAATTCTTCTGGCGTTAGAACATTGCTGCGGTTCAGGCGGTTGCAGACGACACGTAAAAGGTGCAGGTTATCTGGTGCTGTGTCAAATAACCAGTCAAACTCAGAACCTTTCAGCACAGACGCCCGTGGGTAACCCAACCGTGACAACGCCTCAACAAACTGAGCCCCATCCAACATGGCTGCTTATGTCAACTTGGCTCACACTTCAGAGATATTCCTTATCCTAAAGCAGATGGTCAAAATACATTATAACAAGCCCGACATATTCTATGTATTTACAAAGTGAAGGCCCAACTGAGGTGAATGTTGCATGTTACTGTACTGTGTGCAAATAGGAAAACACACACACACACACACACACACACACACACACACATTACCATTCAAAAGTTTGTCACATCCTTCAGAAACCATTCTAAATATAATCTTACTGACCCATAACCAAACATACACACTCACAAAACACACCAATATAAATATAGAGATATTCAAAATATAATAATTCTCAAGAAAGAAAAAATGGACTGTACAAGACCCATCGCAGCAGTTTCAGTTTCATGACCAATACCTCAAAGATAGGCTAGCTAAAGTCAAAGCGGCTTTAGCTTTACCTTCAGTATGACAGATGAATAGCAATATATTTTGTATTTCAAGAGCCGTTAAAAACAAGTTAACGTTAAACGTTTGCATTAAGCTAAATTGGCTTGCTTTACTGGTTTACCGAGTACAAACGATCATAAATTTGGCTTTTTTTTTTTTTTTCAAAAACTGACAATGATATATATTTCATAAAGCAGTATATAGTAAACATCCATACCTTAAAAACCAGAACCCTTTTGATGTATTGCAGTCTGTCTCGATTACCACTTCCGAAATGCCCGCGCTTGCTTTCGTCACATGACGTGAGGTGGTTCCTCGACAAATATATTATTTCAAAAGCCTATTTTTATTTTATTTTTATTTATTTTTTTGCCACAGAAGATGGAATGATATAATACAGCTTACAACTGTATAAAAATATGTAGAAGTGGATTTACTGAAAACAAAATTAAGAAGCGTCTTCATTGAAAATGATTGACAAATCGAGTCGGCCAATCAGATAGATACAAAATGTCACCTGATTAAGCTTCAGCCAAGAATGTAGCAGTATATGGACGGTGGGAGGGCCTTAAACAAGTTCTGTGTGCGCAACTGCAGCAAGTACAGGAACAGGCCATTTGTGTATTAACGGGTATGTATACTAGAAAATCCGTTTTCAATTATTATGGTTACCACATACTGTTCGGACCGTTACTTTTTTATTGCTGATGTGATTTGTGAGCTAATCATCTGCGTTTCGTGCAACAGTCTAGTTTTGAAGGTTGCACGTATGAAAAAATTATTTTCGTTTATTTTTACAGTTGCTTTCAACAAAGAGAGTCATGGTTCAAGCCAAAACCTGGATCCTGAAGCAGCACTTTGAGGGCTTTCCTAAAGACACCGACTTTGAGCTGAAACTAGAGCAGCTCTCTGAGCCCAGAGATGGAGGTTTGTGATCCTCAAATGTCATATTTTTTCCAATATTTACTCTATTTCATACCAAGTGGCATTTATTCTTGTTCTTCAGAGGTTCTTCTGGAGGCAGTGTTCCTTAGTGTGGACCCTTACATGCGGTGAGTGACAAAGCTGTATTGATCAGGTGCACTAACTTTTACATTTAATGTTCTTTTGACAGTAAGTCATACTGATTCTGCATGTTTGAAAATTATTCCTTGTTTTGTTTGTTATGAATCGTTTTATGTATTACTACTACTTTCCCCTAAATATACAATTCCAAGTTTCCTATCTATTTAATTTCTTCTAGTCCATTCAGCCGTGTTCGAATGCAAGCAGGAGATGTGATGATCGGAACTCAAGTTGCCAAGTAAGAGAAATAGCCATTCTGTCCCATAACAGCTGCAACTGACTAGCTTCAATTTGTTCAGTCTCTTTTCTCAACATTTCGAAAGAAACCATGACTTTCTTATCAGTGGAAAGTGGAAAGTTTCCAAAAATCTGGTCATCATTACAAAAGTAAAGCATCTGTGGCCCATTTACAGTCACTGACCGTTAGTTAGGGTACTTTGTAATAGACCAATCAAGAACTGGCAGAATGTTCAAAGCATTTAATGCTTATACTTTAAGACTGCAAATACTTTACGAGACCAGTTAAATAACATATGTTCGTGTTTAGAAGATGCCCTTTTTAAATGAGACAATGTCTCTCTGTCTCCCCATTCAAATATATTGGAGTTGATGGTTTATAAACCACTTTCACCACGTGTTGTTTACCTACTTAATGTGATCCGTTAATTTGTAAATCAAAGTCTCTTCTTATATTTTAACTATAGGGTGATTCAAAGTAATAATCCTTCATTTCCTGTGGGCTGCCATGTGGTTAGTCGATGTGGCTGGAGAACACATACTGTGTCAGCTGAGAGCGATATCACCAACATCTTGGATGACTGGCCTCAGGATGTCTCCCTCTCCCATGCCCTTGGAGCCATTGGGATGCCAGGGTAAAACTCACTGCTTCTTTCGAACCCACAATTGTTTATTTTCCAGATGGTTTTGGTCAAACGCTTAATCCACTGTGATATAGTCATTATCTGATGTCTCATTTAAGCACATCAAATCATCTCTGACGTAGTGAATAGTTATGACTGAGTTCTGGGAAAATTAGATATGCGTTGCAATTCAATTATGGTTTTATGCAACAAACATTTGTTGCCCACATGTTCTCTGCTTAGTGAGTTTCGTTTTGGTTTGCTTTTAAACATGTTCTCAGAAGTGTTTTTGGCTGATAGCAAATGGATGGTGTTATTCTTTCCTGACTGTTCACACAAAGAAGGCATAGCTTAAGCAGGAAGCATCCAACAGCACAGAATGTCAGACTTTCAAGCAGATAAAGAACTAAGTAACTGTAAAAGCTGATTCAAACCAAGGATGATAACAATAATGATAAATCTAACTACTGTATAAAGTTTTAATAATCATTCTAACCACAACTATAATGACAACGGCACAAGAACAATTTGTTGGAATCACTTTCAGACATTTTTTCCCAGATGATGAACCATAAAAACATTGACAGCCAATCAGAACCCATCTGGCTTCAAAACACATGAGCATTTAAAGTGGCAGATGACATTACTGCAACATGCATTTAGAAAAAAACAGAACTTTATCGTGCACTGGTGTGAGTGCTAATATGGTTATAGTTAGCGTTCTTGGTGTGAATGGGTGAAAAATTTCCCTTTTCAGGTTATTTACAAAATATATTTTATTTGAGGCACCACATATAAGCTTTAAATAATAAAATGATACATGAATATATAATAAGTAACATTAACTGTGCTCCACAGGTTGACTGCACTCTATGGTTTGGAGGAGGTCTGTGCCATCAAACCGGGAGAAACCTTACTGGTAAATGCAGCCGCAGGGGCCGTTGGTTCTGTAGCTGGTCAAATTGCCAAACTAAAAGGTTGCAAGGTTGTGGGATCAGCAGGAAGTGATGACAAGGTGGCATACCTAAAAGAGCTGGGCTTTGACCAGGCCTTCAACTACAAGACTGTCCCCTCACTGGAGGAAGCACTGAAGAACGCTTCACCTGAAGGATATGACTGCTACTTTGAGAATGTAAGAATTGACTGGTACTAGTTGGTTAATAATTTATGAAACTAACTCTGTTGACAATACCTTTAAAAAATAAAAAAAATACTTCGTAATCTTGATTTGGCTTGGTTTCCAGGTGGGCGGCCCTTTTTCGAGTGTTGCTATTTTGCAGATGAAGGTATTTGGGCGTATTGCTGTGTGTGGAGGAATATCACTGTACAATGACACCACCCCACAGACAGGTTTGGTTAACTTCTCATGTAGTTCTCGTTTTAACCAGTAGAGAATGACCTTTATGCTATAGAATCAATACCTCAGTATAAACAATACGAAAACTGTTTAGTCAGACATGAAGATTTGGGTAGACATAGACTCTTGTCCATTTACAGCAGTGATAATATGTGTTTGTCTTTTTAGGTCCTTATCCACATCTGCAAATGATTTTTAAGCAGTTGAAAATGGAAGGTTTCTTGGTGGGCAGGTGGGAACATAAAAATGACGAGTCACTGAAGCGAATGCTGACCTGGATGCAAGAGGTACATCAGAATGCTTGGTTTCCTTGAAAAATGCTAGTTTGGTTTAATGCTATACAATGCTTGATCTAAATACAATTATACTTCATCTAAGTAAGTTTCATATTTTGATAATGATGCAGATTCTCTTGATTTGATGGTTTACAGGGAAATCTGAAGTGTAAAGAACATGTTACTGTTGGCTTTGAAAATATGCCTGCTGCGTTCATGGGGATGTTGCGGGGAGAAAACATTGGAAAAGCCATTGTTAAGGTCTGATGGCAAGTACTTCAGTGGTTTGCTTATGAAACAACAATCTTGCCATTTTTGTTATAGATTCTGCATTAATAATTGTATATTTTCATGTTGTGTCCATTATTTTGTTTACAAATAAAGTCTGTTTTTTGTAAATCAGTGTCACATTTGTTCTCTAGAACAGATATGCACAAAGCAGGAATAAAATTATACTTTTTTCTAATATTAGAAACATGAAGGAAATTTTTATCCCAAAAGATTAACATAGGTCTATTAAGGCTGTTGCTCAGCATTATTCGGCATTTGTAAATTGTCATGGAAAAAAACAACAACTTATTTTTCAGGAGGATATGCTGAGTCATCGTGAACTACTGTAGATGAACCACATGAACAACAGCATATAGATAGTTAACATTCTTTGGACAGTGTGTATGATTTTTAATGCAACTCATACAATTTGATAAGCATGGTTATAAGGTTTCTTTTCAATAAAACTATTATTTCATCCATTATCCTTGGAATCTGTTTAGGCTTCACTGTTGATAAGGGTCACAAGTTTTCCACAATATAGTCTGAGAGTCAGAGACTGATACAGACAGGCAAATAATGCCAATTTGTATAGGTTTCTAAAAGAAGTTTCTAAAAAGACAAGTTTTCTAAGAACGTTATTTTGATAAATAAATACATGAGCTAAAAAATAACTTGGCATTTTTACTACCTGCACTGGGTGTTTGGAGGTAATGTACAATGAATGACACAACACAAATATCTGTCTGAATACTGACATCTTGTGGCTATTTATGAAGGAACTATTTTGTAAAATGAAGGTTTACAAATAAAGGAGAGACGGGAGTATCTCTTGTGTGGGGCAAAGAAAAGACTTACGTAGTTCATCCATGACAAAATGTGTAGTAGCTTTTGTGTTGCATTGATTAAGAATATATTCAAATAAATTTTTAGAATAACATTTCATTTTAGTGGTATATGGAATAATGATTTTGATTTGGGTTTCTAGGTTGGATCACTGCTGCTTGTCATAGAATGCAATGTATATGCAATGTCATGGTTATGTGGGTAATTTCAAAGTCATCCTGACTGCATTAAAAATTATTCTGATGTTTCTACAATTAGCAACAAATAAGAAAATAAAATCAATTTTCATCCACAAACCAACAGTTCAAGTTTACCACTCGCTCTAAAACTCACAATATTTGAATGTCTGTTGTATGAAATTCACAACAATCCTGAAAATTCTGACATTTAACATTAAGAATAAATCTGCACAGGATAGCAGATAACCCCTGCTTACTGTACAGCTCCTGGGATTGAGAACCCTCAGCCCTGCACATTTTATGGCAAAGCCAGTTGAGATCACATCTCACTTGTCTAACACACCTGATTAAATCCACAATGTGCGGTGCCATGGGTACCTGGGGTGAAACCTCTTCTCCTGGACAGTTGTTTAAAACATTAAGGACAAATGTTTTGTTATTAATATTCAATGCAGATAAAACAATTAAATATTGAAAGTCCCAGGTAAACAATATTCAGTGTACTCAGGTGAGACATACAGTACTTCATTAATGTCAGTATAGAGGTTACAAGAATTTGCAACGTCACTTATTGTCAATAAAGACGTTTTGTTATGTAAGAGTGTTGTTCATTGTCACCACTACAATAAAAGCAAGCACTGTGCTCTCTCTCAGAACAACTTCCAGTTTGAAGAACTCTGCCTGTGCAGCATCTGACATATAATCATGGTTAAGGCAAAGACGTGGATCCTTAAAAAACACTTTGATGGCTTTCCTAAGGAAAGCAACTTTGAACTGAAAGAAGATGTTCTGCCAGAGCTTCGAGATGGAGGTATGGACGATTCATATATTTGTCTCTTTGTATACCTCTGCTATGCCTCACTGATGTATCATAATCATTTTTGCTTCAGATGTGCTTGTGAAGGCAGTCTATTTAAGTCTTGATCCATATATGAGGTAAAGGTGTCTACAGTCTTAATTGTAATTGTGGTGTTTCTAGCCAATATTTTAAATGCCTCCTGTTGTTTCTGTAGATCTCTGAGTAAAATGTGGATAAAAGAGGGGGATGTGCAATATGGAGCTGGCAAAGTAAGGAAACAATTATTCCTATGTATATTGTAATGTACAGTATATTGTTACATCTTATTCTCACTTTTTGTTAGTCATATACAGTAGATTCATTTCAGTTATACAGAGCGTTTACAGAACCAAAAACCAAAAACATGTTCAGTGTTGAAAAGGGAAAGAAATCTTATCCAAGTAATCATAAAATGTTGAATAATTTGATATATACTAATATGATATCAGAAAATGTCTAGGCAACTGGATCTGTTGCTCAAGCGGTTCAGCCACTCATCAATGTGGTTTTAGTTGCATCAACTGATGAAGACACTTCCACTTAGATGAGTGGAAAAACATCTTGAGCAACAGAGAAACACACAGTTTAAATAGAAAAACTGTGTAGACTTTTTAGACAATTTGCATGTTTAGCTATTGCATTAGTAATTTAAACCACAAAGTTGCATTCAAGTGAGGAAACAGGTCTGTTCATAAACAAAAACAATTCATATCACCATATAAATATCTTAACTTATTGTCTGGCAGGGTAGTGAAGAGTAAGGACCCAGCATTTCCCGAGGGATGTTACGTGGTTGCTAACTGTGGATGGAGGACACACTCTGTAACCAAAGCGAAGGGTCCAGCCGGGCCCACCATGACCCGGATAGTATCCGAATGGCCCAGTGATATTTCAATGTCCCTGGCTCTTGGTTCCTTGGGGATGCTGGGTAATGTAATCATGACTGCTAAAAACTGATTCAAAAGATGGCAGTGACACATAGACTGAAAGAAAATAAAGTCTTTTTTATTCTTTGAATCTCAATAGCCACCACACAAAACCAACACTTTATTCAGAATCGTTAGGCAATTCTTTTGTTCTTTTAATTAAAATATCAGGTAATTTTTGTAAATCCTGTCCTTCTTATCCTCTAGTTTAACTGGTCTGTATGGCCTGGAAGAGGTGTGTAAGATACAGCCTGGTGAGACGATTCTGGTGAGTGCAGCAGCAGGTGCTGTAGGTGCGATGGTGGGGCAAATCTGCAAGATTAAAGGCTGCAAGGTCGTGGGATCAGCAGGAGGTGATGACAAGGTGGCATACCTAAAAGAGCTGGGCTTTGACCAGGCCTTCAACTACAAGACTGTCTCCTCACTAGAGGAAGCGCTGAAGAACGCTTCACCTGAAGGATATGACTGCTACTTTGAGAGTGTAATTTAACAGTATATGTGTATTTTTGTCTCAAATACAGTATGCTACTTGCTAACAAATCTTATTAAGCTTTTTTAATTGAATGTTCTTTAGGTGGGAGGGCCCTTCTTTTACCGCAGCACTCAAAAACATGAAGCCAGGAGGTCGTATCGCTGTCTGCGGTGCAATAGCCACTTACAATGACACAACACCACAGATGTGTACGTCTCATTTCTGCTGACCCACTTTTCACATTTTAATATTAGAAGAGATTAGGCCTACAGGAAAAAATAAAATCGATGCTTTTCAATTGTTACACATTGCAACCACCAGAGGACGGTATAGGATATGAAAAAGCTAAGCAATGTAACATTAAGATATTAAATTTGTTTGTGCTGTCTCATAGGTCCTTATCCTCACCATGAAATAATTACACGACAACTGAAGATAGAAGGATTTATGGTGAGCTCTTGGCAACACAAAGATGACGAATCTGTCAAGAGAATGCTTAAATGGATGAAAGAGGTAAGCAGCTTTAGAAATGAATCATTCTGCTTTCAGTTAGTGAAATGGAATGAACTTGATCGTTACACCTATAGTTAAACCCTTCATTAGATATTACACAGCATATAACAGCACCAGTCTGTGAATGAGAATGGGAAATGGTATGTAGATACATTGAATTATTTTCCTGCAGGGCAAACTGAAGACAAAGGAAGTGGTCACTGTTGGCTTTGAGAACATGCCAGCTGCCTTCATAAGGATGCTGAAGGGCGATGGACTTGGGAAGGCTATTGTTAAAGTCTGAAGCATGCTTAGAAATCCATCTGTTGTCTTTTTACATAAAATACACTATGACACAGTTGGTTAACTTGAATATGTGTAGACAGATAACCTAGTGAAGTCTGTTTGTGTCTAAAAGGTCCAGGGAACAAAATTAATCTCATACTTGTCCACTAAGTTTTATTTTTGGTAATGGTAACTATGTTACAAGAAGTGTCACTATTTTAACTGTCTTTCACTGCAATATGTTTACAAATAAAGCCATGTAAAGCCTCATATTTACGTTGTATATGGTCATATTTTCCATGTCTGATTAATAATGTTCATTATTTCTGCAATTTTTCCCCTTCTGGGCTCTGGAATTTAAAAAAATGTAAACAGCAAAAAGATTTCATTGCTACGCCACAAACAGCTCTAAAGAAATACATAGAATCTGCTTAAATGCCCTGTTGAAAAAAACAGCATATGCTGGTTAGGTATGTTTTGACACTGGGATGCTGGTTTAAGCTGGTCCTTTGCTGGTTTAAGCTGGTCCTTTGCCAGCACATGACCAGCATAAACCAGCAAAAGGACCAGCATAAACCAGCAAAGGACCAGCATAAATCAGCAAAGGACCAGCTGAACTATTATCTAACTATTATTATTAACAACGTACGTACTGAACTATTTAAGCTGATTATAATTTATTTGTAGGGTGCCGTGGTAGGCGGGGTTACAGGACCTCATAATTCCATGATTGGATCGTTGTGTTCATTGAAGGCGGGGCTACGTGACAGGCGCTAATGACGCGCGCTGCTACTCTGAAGCTACTCTCAGGAGCTTTCAGACCTACAGTCAGTCCAGCAGAAGACAAGACATCAAAATGGTTATCATAATTGAGGATAAGGTAGGATCATAATGCCAATCTTTTCAATTCAATTCAAGTTTATTTATATAGCGCTTTTCACGATACAAATCGTTGCAAAGCAACTTTACAGCAAATTAAGTTCCTACAACATTTAGTAGTAGCTTATCAGTGGTGACTGTCAGTTAATGTACATATGGCAGAAATGTACGGAAAAATCAATTAAAAGTGCAGTTTCTGTGCTATGGTGGG